AATACTTTTGCTCATGGGAATTTTTAAGACGGTGAAACTGTGAAATTCTATGCCTATTGCTAATCAAATACTTTTTAGATATAAAATCTGTTCAGAAAAGTTATCTAAAACTTGGAAATAAGGCAGAAGGATGACTACATATCTTTTCGGTGACATACGGGAGCTTTTCCTAACAGACCCGTCCAAGGATTATTTAATCCTAGATGGAAATGTGCCTTCATTTGATTTACTATTCACTCTTGATTAGGGCTCAACCTCTGAATGGTTATATGATGACTTGAACCTTTTTTGGTCTGGTTGAGATGTAAATAATTTTTCTCCAGTAAAACAGGTAACTCCAAAGGTTACATTTTTGTTTCTCCATAGGACATTACTTTTGTATCTAATTTAGTCATCTTATTCCTGCATTCCTATATATACTCAAGTCCCTCACATTCTCCTTTTAACCAAATTCACTAACTTGCTATTCTTTAGTGAGCTAAATATGTCTGTGGCACGTGTTCGCTTTATATTTGTATGAGAGTCCCGTTTTTAACATTTAAAATATTATAATTTGATAAATCGTGATTTGAAAGTCGGAATCTTAATGGAGAAGTATGACGGCCTTTGAGGAAAAATAATTTTAAAATATAACTTAATGTGAAAGTCTTTCTTAGTCTTTTAGCAAATGGAGAAGAATCAGAGTTAAATAGCTGGAGCACTTAGTCGCTAATGTTAGACAGTGAGTCCTGACAGTGCCATCCTCAATGATGCAAATGTGATCATCAGATAGACATACCAGGAATGAAATAATGCACAACAAAGAGCTGATCTAAGTAATTCCGCCAGCTGGGTGCTTTTTTCTCCCCTTAGTTTGGGTTCATTTAACTTTAAAATCTGTGCCAGTTTTGAATTTAAAATAAACTATTACTTGACAATTCTAACCTAACAGAAACCCAGAAAAATGGATTAAGATGAAAATGCTATAGCTCTTTTATTTTACTTTCAGTAGAACTTGTAATTTTCAACAGTCCTCTTGATTTCTTTCTGTTGTTTGCCATATGTCCATGGGCATGTGTAAAGGTTAAAGACTTACTTTGAGATACTTTCTTTTGCTCTGAGAGATTTGAGTTTTGGGTTGGATTTTTCCTTGCAGATCTTTGGATGAGACGTTGGTGTTCCCCATAATGGAGATATATTGGAGATCGGGGCCTGTGTGTAGTATAATGTGGTGGTAGAAAGTTAAGGCTCTCTAGGTAAACTATCTGGGTTCAAACTGCAGCCCTATTATTCCCTATATACATATGTGTTAGAGTTATTTAATCTCTCTAAGCTTCAGTTTCCTCAACTGTAAAATGGGAGTAATAATAGGACTTATCAAAGAAAGTCCTTCTGAGGTGCTTGGCACAGTGACTGGCAAACAGTACGCATTCAATAAGTGGATGCTATTATTATTTGGGAGGTGCAAAATATGCAAATGTGCAAATCTTTCCCATTGGTATGTGGCTCACCTTTTGGGTATCTCTTGAACCGTTTCCTTTCTCTTTCCTCCTTATCCATAGGACCATAGTGAGAAATTAATAGAATTTTAATATTCATTTGTGTGTATCCAATAAAGTTGTTGCTCTATCTTATTTGGAAACAAAACAAAAAAACAAAACTCAGAGAAGTTAACATTTTATATTTCTGAAGGAGACGATTGATTAAATTGTATCATTTCCTGGGAATGTAGTCCTATTTTCTTTTTCCTTGTGGGCAATAATGCTCCCCCGACCCTGTTCATGGGATTGTTTGTCTTTTCCTGGACCTTCAAGTCCAGTCATGGAGGGGAGGTCACTGCTCTCCCTTCATTCCTACAGCTGCAGTCTGGGTGTAACCTAATGCTGTAACCTCGCATGAGAGAGGAAACAAACATCTCCATCAGTCACAATTTTGAGCTCTGTTCCCAACCCTGGTTTCATCAAGTATGGCAGTCTAATTATAAGGCTTCCTACGAGCTATGTAGCCTGCTTTCTTGTTCTGATGCGTGTCTCTTATGTTATACTGCAGCTCTTTCCTGGCATATTCATAGAATACGTCTATGTGGGACTAATTTTTCACCCCAAATTTCCTAAAGTTGTCTAAGATAATCCACTTATAATGGCAACTCCAAGGGCCATGGGTGGCATATAGATGAGGAATTCTAAAGACACTGGAGAAAGCGATGCTTAGTGTAAATATTAATGATGTAAGATGAACAACTGAATGACAGCATTCAGGGTTGACAAGTGTTCACATGACAAGTCCTAGCTGGTGGGGGCAAAAAGTTTAGTTAAATGCAAGCCCAACATGAGCCAGCAGTGTGATTCAGACTGAAGGTAGAATAGACCGGCTATCATTTTATATTTCCCCTAGCTGAAGCTTAGTGTTCATCCACCTGAGCTGTTATACGGAATTTTTTGGCATTGAAATGGAAGAGGTTAAGGTAAAATGATCTTAAAGTTCTCTTACAACTGTAAGTTTGGATGCTATCATTTTTTTCCTCAATATTCTTTTGAAGTAAAGTATAATTTACCTTTAATGACTCAGATATTAAGCGTAGTGTTTGATAAGTTTTGACAAAGATATACATCCGTGTAACTCCCTCCTCATTCAAGACAGAACTTTCCATCACCCCATAAAGTTTTTCGTAATCCTTTACAATCAATGTCCCCTCTCCATAGGTAACCACTATTTTGATTTCTATTAACACAGATTCTAGAACTTCATAAAAATGGAACTGTATACTATGTGTTCATTTATATCTGGCTCCTTTCACTTAACATAATGTTGTCGAGATTCATCCATGCTTTTGTGTGTATCAGCTATTCACCCTGTTTTATTGCTGAGTTGTATTCAATTGCATGCATATACCACCATCTCTTTATCTATTCTCCTGTTGGTGAACGTTTGAGTTGTTGGCTATAAAGCAGAGTAAATATTCTTGTACAAATCTTTCAGTGAACATATGGCTGTGTTCCTCTTGAGTAAATATCTGAGAATGGAATTGCTTGGTCATAAGATAGGTGGATTTTAACTTTATAAGGAACTGCTAAAACCATTCTCCAATGTAATTGTACCATTTTACACCCCTACCAACCATATGTGAGAGTTCCAGGTGCTCCACACCCTGGCCACTCTGTTTTTCTTTTCATCATATGCATTTATTTCCCTTGGGTGTGTTCCTAAGGAAACCAAGAAATGATCACTGTTACTAGCAAAAGTTCACTTGAAAGGTTATTCTAAGCTACTAGGATTACCAGAAAATAGCATGCATTGATCACATTCGTTGTGACTTTTAATTAAGGATTAGCTATGAATCACCTTAAAGTAATTTAAAGCTACAGTGTGACTTACAAATAACATGTGGGGAAAATGTGCATGATAGTTTATCATTTCCTCATAGCTTGTTAGAATGGTCAGAAAGCTCTAGTTTCTGGTGTTTTTACATTAAGAAATTTGGCCATTTGTCCTGGCAATGGGCAGACAGTCAGGAGAGAAGTAGTAATTTGCTCATTCATCAAATTTTGAGGTACTTTTGGAAAAAGAATCCCTAGCAAACTGGCGATTTATTAGGGGCTCTAGGAATAAAAAAGTAGGATTTGACAAAATATCACGGATCTAGTATATATGAAAGAAAATATGCAGGGTCATTCTCATATTGTGAGTGAAGAGGTATTTTGCATGGTAGATTAGTAATGTACCATCATCTATTAAATGCTTACTAGATGCCAAGCACTGGAATAAGTATTTTCATACATTGATTCATTTCATGCTTTCAACAACCTTACAATGTAGGCAATATTAATTTCCCAAATATTATGGAAGAGGAAATTGAAGTTCTTAGGAGTTGAATAACTTACCCAGAGGCATGGCTATTACACAGTAGAGCTAGGGTTTGAACCCAACACCATCCGTGGCTGAACTATACTTTGGTAAAAAAGTTGAACTGGATGGTCGCATGGGAAAAAGTGTGTGTGTGTGTGTGTGTGTGTGTGTGTGAGAGAGAGAGAGAGAGAGAGAGAGAGAGAGAGAGAGAGAGAAGATGACCAGAGTCTTTCAAACATAAAAATAAATTTCATTGGGATAAAGTTTTGTGGAAGAAGTGGAATGGAAATATGAGATTGAAAAAGAAATACTGCAAAATTTCTTTCTATATGAAAAAAATGAATAACGATAGGTATCAAATGGTATTTAGATTCTGTCGGATACATTTAAATGAGCAATGTATCTGTTTTTAAATTTTCATATTTATAATGCATTGGTAATTCTAACCTTTATAAATATTTAAACTTATGATGAAAAACTTGAGATATCCACTGAATAATGGTTGAGAAGGTTACATGGTTTTTCAAACTTCTCTTAAGTGACATGGCAGTTAAATTTCGAATACCATGACTTGGGAAGCAGGGTAGTGGTTCTGACTACTTAGTCACTTTGTAATCCTTGCATTTAGCACAGTGCCCAGAATAAACAAAGTTCACTATCTGCATTTAGGGAATGAAGATGCATGTGAGAGGCTGTGCACAAAAGGTCCAGGTCCGCAGAAAAGACCACGCATCATCACTACCAGTGCACAGAACTTTCCGACCTTCTAGCCTCATTTCCTCTGCTCAGAAAATAGAATTTTACAAGGTTACCTGACACCAGCAAACTGAAATAATGTTAATGATGGTAATTGCTGTGATCATGGTATTTTACAGCTGAGAAACCCTTCTGTAGACATCAGTTCATTGTAATTTTGGATGGAGAGTGTAGCATTTCCTTTCTTTTCTTTTTTTTATTGAGATATAGTTGACAAATGTACAATACAATATTATTAACTATAATCATCATACTGTATATTACATGCCTAAGACTTATTTATATTATAACTGGAAGTTTGTACCTTTAGATCCCCTTCACTCATTTTGCCCATCCCCCACTCGCAGCTTCTGGCAACCACTAATCTTTTCTCTGTATTTACGCATTTGTTTTTTTTTTAGATTCCACATGTAAGTGAGATCAGACAGTATTTGTCTTTCTCTGTCTGACTGATTTCACTTAGCACAATGCCCTCAAGTTTCACTTGTGTTGTCAGAAATGGTAAGAGTTCCTTCTTTTTATGACTGACTAACATTGCATTGTATGTACAGTTGACCCTTGAACAACACAGGTTTGAAGTGCATGAGGCCACTTAGATACAAATTTAAAAAAATAAATATATCAGAATATTTTTTGGAGGTTTGTGACAATTTGAAAAAAAACTTGCAGATGAACCACAAAGCCTAGAAATATCAAAAGAAAAAAATTAAGGAAAAGGTATGTCATGAATGCATAAAATAGATGTAGCTATTAGTCTGTTCTATCATTTACTACAATAAAATATACACAGTAATATACAACTGGCTGTTAGTAGTTAAGTTTTTGAGGAGTCAAAAGTTATATGCACTGGTGATGGACAGAGAGGAGCAGATATTGGGGGACTGGGAGAAAGGGGTGAAGGGTTCAAGAAGTACAAATTAGTAGTCGATAGATGGTCAGGGGGACGGGGAGCACGGCATAGGGAATGCAGTTTGCAATAACATATTGGCTAGGTGGAGGGCCAGAGAAGAGAAGGAGCAATTGGGGAGATCATTTTATAAACTCTATAAATGTCTAACCAATGTACTGTATACTTGAAACTAATTAAAATAAATAAATCTCTTTTTTTTTAAGTTATACACAGATTTTCAACTGCATGGGAGGTGTCAGCACCCCTAATTCCTGCATTGTTGAAGGATCAATTGTATACACTATGTCTTCTTTATCCATCATCCATCATGGTTGCTTCCATGTCTTGACCACTGTAAATAATGCTGCAATGGACACAGAGGTGTGGATATCTTTTTGCGTTAATGTTTTTATTTTCTTCACATAAATATCCAGAAGTGGAAATGGACTTTCATCAAATTAGTTTCTCTGCCTCAAACAAGTAGCGAAGAGCTGGAATGCTACATGGCTTGTGCAAGGCCTGACAGTCTGGTGAAGGAGGTAAGGACAAGAGAGGGGAGGTAGGAAAGGGACTGTCCGGCTGAAGTATTTAGTCCCAAGACTGTTATGGGGTACAGCATGGGGTCATTGATCTCTATCCATACTGGAGACAAGTGGATTTCTCCATGGTTCATCCATCCATCCATTCATTCAATCGACATATATTAAACACCCACTGTGCGTAAGATCTTGAGATAGAGAGGTAAATAATACTCACAAGGACACTTTGAATGAGGGAAACAGGTCGATAAGTAAATGGGAGGAGCCTGTTTTTACCTCCCAACCTCCCAACGGTGAGAGAAACGCTTTGCCATTTTTATCTGAAGGAGGGAGATGACAGGGTGAGAGCCCTCCCTTTCCTCACCCGCCCATGTGAATCACGAAGGGCCCCGGCATTCTCGAAATGATGTGCTGTCCAAACCTATGAGCTGAGGAATGGGCTAAAGCTCAGTGAGATTAATGTGAGCCGAGCTCCTGGACTTTTTCCATTTGCTTAAAAGGTCAGCTAGTGTAATGTGGAATATGTGTGGGGAAAGGTGAGCTCTGGGCTTCGCAAGAATGAAGGGAAGATTCAAACAGTATCCAGTGGATGAAAGGAATTAGCTGTATTTTATCTTCACAGAGGCCCTATAATTGGGGTCAGCAGTTGTAATATGTCTGCCAGTCACACGCGTGTGGTTAGTGGACAGTTTGAATTCTAATGACATTCAAACCGGCTAGGGCAATCGTACCTCCCAGTTCATGCCTATTCTCCTGGTGTAGTTATTAATAGCATTCCCTTCTGCTCTCAAAAGTGTCAGGGGTTAGAAGATAAACTATATGGTCACAGTAATAACTCAGGAAGGGAAAGTCAAACCCCATCCGCTTTCCCCATGGAGAAGTATGACCAAAATATGTTTGTTTTTAAAATCTTTCATGTTAACATTTTGCTGATGTGGGAAGTTGTAAATCTGCTGGAAAGTCTATGGTTCGACAAACATTATTTTTGCAGGGCTCGTGTTAAGAGTGTAAAAGAGACAGAAAAATAAATAGGACAGAGGCCTACTCTGGAAGAGTTTACGGACTGACAAAGGTGACATATAAAAAAGAATGTATGCCTGAGACACTAAGGGCTTATATCCTTGGAAGCCTGAAGAGACCCGGGGGCTAATCTTGTCACCTCATTTTACAGATGAGGATGCTGTTTGCCCAGGTTCACATAGTTGTTAGGTGCAGAGACCAGGGGCTTTGCCTGAGACTGCCCCTGTTTATGTCTGTTATCCTGGCATAACTACTAATAGCATCATCCCCTTTCCATCTCAAGCATGTCCTGGTTTAAATGATAAATTATATGGTTCCCCTCCTCTAGGGAGCAGGGCCTCCTGCCTCTGAACGATCTTTCTCTACTATGTCACTATTGACATTGGGCGCTGGATAGTGGAGGAGCTGTGTCTAGTGCATTGAAGGACATTTAGCAGCATCCCACTAGAGGCAAGTAGCAGCCTCCCTCCCAGTTCTGACAGCCAAAATCCCCTGGGAGGCAGAATCACCCTGGCTGAGAACCTCTGCCCTAGATGATGACCTTGACAATGGTCAGCCATACTTCACCAGGCTGCCGCAAGAGTCTAAAATGTAACTGACCAAGAATATTTTATTTGCTTTTTTTTTGAACTCTGAATATGAAAATCTTGAGAAAACTATTTAAAGCAAATACCTAATGGGAAAATATTTATTTCAAAAACCTGTCAGGCGTTATTATTGTTCCTCATGTTTTCTGTGAATGGAGTGTCATCCTATGCAAATGGTATTGAATCTGAAATATTATTGGTCCACCCACATCATGAGAGATGACTGCTATTTTAACCTGTTGCCCAAGTGGAAAATAAAGAGGAGAGAGGATGTTACAAATATTTCTGTAATACTTGGAACCTACTTTTAAAGTGATACACCTGAGTATTTTTTTTTTTTTTTTCTAAACAGGAAGAGACAGTGCTGGCCCAACCCAAACTGTGAAACTGCTATTCTTCTCATTTACCCCACTTTCAATGCTTCCTTCTCCTTTATTCTCTCCAACTTGGCATTATTGTATTAAATTTTTGCTGATATGAAATAGACTTACCTGTCCTCAAACAAAAATAACTTATGGATTCAAGCAATATATACTAAGTGGCTTTACGCCAGCCTGCTCCAGTGCTGGAGATGCATTGGTGATCCCTGGTCACAGCCCTTGAGATGCCTAAGGTCTAATAGGAACTCATTGACACCCAGGTGGACATCATTAATAACATTTAGTATATGGTGGGTCTCAAACTTGAGTGTGCATTAGCATCACCTGCAGGGGTCGTTTCTGATTCGGTGGGTCTGGAGTGGGGCCCAGGCAAGTTCTTCAGTGATGCTGCTGCTGCTGGTCTGAAAGCACACTTTGAGAACCATTGGTTTCACGTCAAAGATATTTACGCTTCATTGGGATTCAGGAGCAGCCAGGCAGACTGCTACCATGGCTGCTTTGGCTTCATCTTTCCCCAGTTTCCCTTGTCTTTGCTCCTTTCCTTCCTCTTTTCATTTCCCATTTTACCTCATGTACCCAACATTCTCATGCTCCTTTGACTCTCCTCCATCAAGCATCGCTCTTAAAGAACGTTTGTATCAAACACAACATACTGTTTATATCAGATATTAGCATGGCATTAAGGCAATGTCTTACCTTGTCCAGGGTGATTGGCATTGGGACATATCCCTATTTGTGGAGTGGAACACAATGTCCACGTCCACTTTTTTAGGACTGATTTAGGCAAGTCTCCTCTGTGTAGACACCCTTACAGCACTGAACCTATGGGTGTAGGTATCACACACATCAGAGGTCTCTGCATTTGATATGCATACATATAAACACTAAACAAACAACTGTCTGTATAATGAGGGTATGATTGTTAAGGGACTCTCAAGCCCCAGTCTTTTTTGATAATTTAAGCGAATCTAGGGTCTAGGTAAACCTTACTGAAGTGTCAGGATTGTCCTCTCCCTTGTTTAGGTGCTAATGACACTTAGAAAACGCCACCGCCACCACTATCACTGTTTTCTTTATGCCTTTCAGTTGACAAGAGAGCAATATAGGTATCCATGCACCTACTCAGAGATTATGAAAATTAATCTAAACATGGAAGTATGTGCAGAATGAAAAATTTTAAATGACACCTTCGACTTGAGGACTGTTATTAAATTTAAACCTTCTCACATTCGAGGTAATAACAATAGGAAGAAATAATTCCCTTTAAAATTTTTGATGGTTACTTTCTCTTCACCCCCAAATTACTGGGGTTATCTTTGATAGATAAAGGGAGAGAACCTATGATTACTTCCAGTGTGTGAGGTTGAGGGAAATTCAACAAGAACACTCAACCTACCAATGAGTTTGTAACAGGTCATGTGTCTATTTATCTGGGTTAATGTCACATGCAATTAGTGACTGAATAGTCTAATTGATTCTTGATCTAGCTAAATTTTTAGGTGAGCAATTGGACCTGAATCCCAATTAGAGCTGTGAGTGGAAAATAACATATGCATAAGTGTGGTAACTGGTGAATTTGAGGAATAAGAGAGAAAGAAAAAAGCAAATGCTTTTATCTCTACAAAAAGGTGGCACAAGCAGAAACTGTCTTGCTCTCTCCAGCGCCCTAACTCAGCCCTAAGGGGGAGCAGAGAGGAGCTTTGGTGATGAGGGGCCAGGAAGGAAAGGACTCTAATTTCTATTTGGCCTAGAGGTTTTGTTTCAGGTATGATATTTTCTATTAGTCTACATTTCCCCTTCATATTTTCGAAAGTCCTATTCACCCATCCTCTTACCATATGACTATTCTAGAAGCCTGGTATGCAATGCAACAGACTTGGCAGCCTGATGAAAGCAATACTGGGTACAGGCTCTGGACGTGTTACTGGTAGCCTTATCACGCTCTGAAACTGTATGCAAAGCTACCAAAATATTTAAAGGAGGCTGAACTGCGGATTAGAATGAGTTGGAGTATCTTGAAACAATAATGGTACGATATCAGATGCTGATTATAAAATTTCACAGTATTCCTTCTTTGACAGTACATCTTACCTCTTTGATTCATCAGAGTATTACATGGAAACATTGCGATAGATGGTGAGGCTGAAAGCACCCTGAGTATATCAATTAGGAATGCATTTGGCTACAAGTAACAACTACTAAGTGCCAGGCAACGTACGAAGTTCTTTTTCAAACGTGGCCTATTATCATCACAGCAACCCAACAAGACAGTAGTTTGTTGTTGTTGTTGTTGTTTTTAAATAAGATCAAAGTAGTTAAGTAACTTGCCCAACGATACAAACTTAAAATAATAGCTTTGCCTGGTATTTTTCAAATTAGTAAAAGTTATAGCATTGCTTGAAAATACCAGAACTTCTAAATCGATCCAGAAAACTCAGAATTAATTTCTATGTGTCCTGATGAAAAGCTCAGATGGACAAGTTCCTAAGTGGAACAGAGACCCAGGTTCAAGGTTATCATTTAGTCAGGGGGTACCCATGAGATGTATATTGTGTTACAAGTAGATACCTGAAGGTCAGGATTGCTTAGAGATAGGGGCGTGTGAGTAGAGGAATCATGTGTGTCTCCTCGCGGTAGAGACTGTAGATTGACCTAACACCCCTTTTCAACGGCATTCACCCTTGCCTTTGAAAAATAATAACTAAAAGCTATAATGCTTGAAACTTTATTTTCTAATGAGATATAAGTGAACATGCACTGAGGGTGGATCTGGGAATGTTTTGCTTTCTGAACACAAGAGGAGATAGTGTCAGCTGCCATGGTCCTCTGTCATTTCTCTCTGCCTGGGATGTACTCTGGACATATGGAACTGCGCCACCCGTACTATGACCATGAAGACAAAAGCCGATGCACTAACAATCATGGAGCAGAAAGAGATAAAGACCTGGATCTTCGATGATATCACCCACCTAATATTGTCTTCCTTTAAAGTGCTCGTCATATGAGAAAAATAAACTATTTGTTTCAGCAACTATGAATTGAGTTTCATGATATTTACAGTTGAATGCATTCCGAATTAATACCTCCTCCGTGGTGTAAGCCTCACCATCCCCCACAATGTTTTAATATGATTACCTGGTGAACCAAAGAAAAAAAATACTGTACCTGTCAGACAAGTGATAGAAAGTAGAGCCTTGTAATACATTTAATCAACTTTGTAAATTGTGAAACATGTCATGGTTGCAAATTGTGAAACAAGGTTTTGTCTACAATAGTATAAAATTAATATATGCATAGAAATGGACAAAAAGAAAAGAAAAAACAACCCATAGATTAGACTATTATTAGCATATATTTATTTCTTCCTACCCCACCTCTCCCAGCCTCCATGGGTAGAGTATATTTCCCTTCCCCGTAATGTTAAGCTTGGCCATTATAATTTGCTTTTGCCAGTGGGATGTGGGCAGAAGGGACAGCATCCTAGTTCTGAGTCAAAACATTAAGAGATATCATATGTTTCTATTCTATACTCTTGGACTTCTGCCACGGCCATGAGAAGAGCATGCCTTGAACAAGCTGCTGTCCTAAGGAAAATGAGAGACGTGTGAAGCAGAGATGAACTGAACCTACAACCTGGAGCCAAGTCCAGTCAAGATCAGCCAGACTGTAGTGGACCCTAGGGTGCATGAGTAAGAAATAAATACCTGTTTCTTTATATCCCTGGGTTTTGAGGTGCTTTGTTATGCAATGTTAGTGTGACAATAGCTAACTGATACACAACCTTGACAGCGTAATTTTACAGAATAAACTGTGGTTATTGTAATTTTTTAACCAAAGATAGATTAGTATTGTAATATCCTATAATGATATTTTAAGTGGAACCCAATCTATTAATACATAAAAAGCCAACATTTACAAAGATAATACATGATTTATTTGCTTAATGCCATTATTTTACAAATTAGGCTTCTCCCTAAATTTAGCCAGTTACAGTAGGCTTTCTGTTTCTTCCCAACAAAAACTCTAGTTTCATTCTCTTCATATGCTTTCTATCTTTTTTCTGTTAGTTATGCTATGATCAGTAGTATTCTACTCTTAAAATTTTGTTTAACTAGACCAAAGAAAACCTCTCTGACTGAAAAAACAAACTACTGGGCAGAGAAATGTTTTCTTTGCTTGGATTTTCATCTGTTCAAAATTCTCTCTATTAGTTACCTATTGTGTAACAAATTATCCCCAAACTTAGAGGCTTAAAACAATAATAAAGAATAATCAGTTTCGGAACATTAGGAATCCAGGAGGGGCTTGTTCCGTGATTCTGGCTCAGGGCCTCTCCTGAGGTTGCAGTCACAATATTGTCCAGGGCTATAGTCACCTTGTGGCTCGACAGCGGCTGGAGGTGCCACTGCCAAGGTGGCTTCCTCATGAGGCTCTTGGCCATATGAACTTTTCCATAGCGCTGCTTAGTTTTCTAATGACATGGCTCTACTGTCCCCAAGGTAAGTAAGAAAGCATTGTCTCCTCATCACACTCTGTCAGTCCCACAGTATCCTACTGGTCACACGGGTAAGCTCTATTCAGTGTAGAGGAGGACTACCAAAGGATGTGAATACCAGGAAGCTGGATTTTTGGGAGCCATCTTGGAGGCTGGCTACAACACTTTCTAATATAGTATTCAACACAGTCTCCTCAGACTGCTCCAAGAATCTTCTCAAAATGGATTTACAGTTTAAACTAGTGGTTTTCAACCCCTAATTCCCTAGGGACATTGGACAACGCTCATTTTTTATTATTCCAAATGGGGAAGGGGTGCTACTGGCGCCTAATCAGTAGAAGCCAGGGGTGCCGCTAACATCCTCTAATGCACAGGCATCCTACAATGCACGGGACAGTCCCTAAAAAAAAAGAATTATTCAGCCCAAAATGTCAACAGTGATAAGGTAAAGAAACCCTGCATTTTAACTATAACAATGTGCTAAAATTTTAAACAGTTTCCCCTTACAAACTCTTCAATAGATAGTATGAACACTACTTTTCATTTTCAGTCAAGTATAATCAGATTAAGCAAAGGTGAGTTATATAGTACATGATCAAACTGCAGGTGCACAATCAAAAGACAGCGAGCAGGAGAAATGAATTTTACCAAACACACACACACACACACACACACACACACACACAGCCGTCCCCAGAAGAGCTGTGGGGGAAAAGTTTCCCTGTTTTTGTGTGATATACTTGCTGACTTTGCAAAACCAGCACCAAATAATTGTTATTTCACTGAGAACTCCCTGCCAACAACTAGAAACCCTAGCTGGGTGACACTGTGCATTCTGAAAAAAAAAAAAAAAAATCAATTGAGGATTTTAAAGACAAGCAGAAAAAGAATGAGGAGGTGAATTCAATAGAATTTTATTGACAATGTATGGCTTATAGAGCTTTTTCTCTAACCTTTGACAAGTCTTCTTTGTATCCAAGGTTTATCTGAGTGCTTAGAAGGGGCTAAAATAATAAACCCATAACACAGTAGCTGGTTCTGTTAGAGATCTCTTCCTTCCTACAAAATGCTCAGAAGCAGAAGAGGAGTGATCATGAAGCAGACGGCTTGGTGGGGGACAGCCTCAGGACCCCGCTGTGCTCTCTGACAATTAAGGAGATAAAAAGACATCAGCCTGAACTCTAATCTTCCTTAAACAAACCACGCAGAACTGAATTGGCTTCTAGGCAATGTTCAGAGCCACTGGGACAATAGGAAAAGGCCAGATTATACCAGATCTCCTCCTGAGTGTCTCTAGGCTTGGACATGGGCAATGGCTCTTCAAAAAAGGAAAAATGTAAATGTATCTTTGCATCAAAAGTTTCACTAGTTGATGAATAGATATGCCTATATTCTTAGATTTGTTTGAGAAAATATGACTTAATGAATATGA